GAAAATGGAAATAAAGACCAATATATGCCTAACAAGTCATAATTAGACCAAAAATGTTAAAGTTAGAGTCTTGGGTGTTTCAGGGTAGAAATTTGATAACCGTTCAGAGAAAAATTACACCGGGTGTCATTAAATGACAGAAAGTCACTTAATGACATGGCGAAAATCCTAAAAATATAAGAAGACTCTTCCCCTTCCCTTCCCATCAGCAGCCCACTTCACTCTCTCTACCTTGGAGGTTTTCAAATTTTCTCCACCCTCTCTCTAAGATCCCACCACCTAAACTTCATTAAAATCCAAAACACTCTTCACCAAAGTTATTCCCCTCATCATCCTCTTCAATAATATCCTTTTTTTATTTGAAAAACCAAATTTTCATGGTGGAGACCTTCCCATACAGCAGCGATTTTGGAGCTTCTTCATGCCATGGAGATGTTATTTTGAATTCTCTGGGAAGAACACTCCTTGGTGCTTGTTTTCTTGAGTCTAGTGTAAGTTTCTTACATTTTCTTCTTGAAAAACCCTACCTTTTCTTTTTTAAATTCATGTTCTTGGTTCTAAATCCTTGAATATTTCATGAAGGTGGGTTCTTGGTAAAAAAAGAAGCATTCTTGGTAAGTAAAGGTTGGATCTTGATCTAACGGAGCCATCTTGGAGAGGTAAGGCTTGAATCCATGGAAAAGATGAATCCAAACCCTTCTTGCTCCCACTTTCCATTTCGTCCATAATAATTATATGTTGACAATGATGTTGTAAATTATTAAAAATGGGGTCTTGATGGTTAAATGTGTGGTAGAGGTTTAAAACTCAAGAAAGATGAAGACTTGTAAGAAAAAGTGTCACCTTTGGCTTGTGTGTGAGTTGTTCTTGATGTGGATGAAATAAGAACCCTAAAAACTCCATGCTTTGATTCTGCCATCTTCATCAATATTAGGGTTTAGGGTTAAAATTAATAAAGGTGACACCTTTGGGGACTAAAGACATAAATGACTTAATTAAACCATGAAAGTGTGTTAAAAAGATAAGTAAAAACCTTAATCTTATGACTATGAAATTCAGCCATATGGATGGATATATATTAGGGTTTGATGTCTTAAAATGGTTCTAAGACTTAATTAGGACACTAATGGAGGGACCAAGTGAGGTGGATTAAGCATAATTGATTAATTAAATCTTAAACACATTTAAGGCTAAGTAACCAGTTTTTAGGAAAAATTGGGGAGAGCATATCTCCCTCCACAGAGGTCATATAGGGATTTGTCTTATATCAAATTGAATCTTGAGATGTTAGCTATGTGGTTTCAAAATTTGGTATCAATTGAAGATGTATTTCATTCTGTATGTTTGTTTGAGTGAGGACTGCACAGGGACGCCATGTGCAGGGGCGCTGTACATGGCTGCAACTTCCACGAATTGTTTCTCCCTCCTAACCTCATTCACGATGTTTATATCATTACATTAGCTCTCTAACTATAATTTTCTAATTTGGAGCTATTCTACTGACTTTTATTACGTCAGCAGTCAAAATTAACAGATGAAAATTCATCTGTGCATAATACCCTCAATATGGGTATCAAAATTCTTAGAATTTGATTCTCATTCTATTTATGACCATAAGGTCCTCATCATTACCCTCAAATTTAAGATCACAAAATTAGGGTCATTATATTCACCACACCTTTTAAAAATATTTTGTCCTCAAAATCGGATGATACCTGATATCAAACTCGGGAAATCGCCGGAGAATATCATCCTCCCTCTCCCATGTGGCGTCCTCAGGTGTCAATCCCTCCCATTGAATCTTGATCATGGTAATAACTGTATTTCGAAGCCGTTTCTCATCTCGAGCAAGAACCTTAGAAGGTCCAACAACGAACTTCCGGTCCTTCTTAACCTCTTTGTCATCATGTTGTACAATGTGTGAGTCATCAGATATATATCTGCAGAGTTGACTCACATGGAAGACGTCATGTAAATTCGCCAAGTTGGGAGGTAGAGCAAGTTGATACGCCACCGGTCCGACCGGGCCCAATGAATCGTGGACTCAACTTCCTCACTCCCAAGGCACGTCCAACACCTGTAGTGGGTGATAATCGAATGAATACATGATCCCCTTCAGAAAACTCAAGGGGTCTGTGCTTGGCATCATAGTAACTCTTTTGACGGCTTTAGGCTTTCTTCAGCCTATCTCTGATCATCTCAATCTGCTCTGTAGTCTCTTAGACCAAGTCTGGCCCCAATAACTGTCTTTCTCCAATCTCCGTCCAACAAGTAGGTTCTCTACACCTACGGCCGTACAAGGCCTCATAAGGAGCCATGCCCAAACTGGCATGATAACTGTTGTTGTAGGAGAACTCAACCAGTGGCAGGTACTTGTCCCAAGCATTACCTTGCTCTATCACACATGCTCTCAGCATGTCCTCTAGTGTCTGAATGGTCCTCTCTGTCTGACCATCTGTCTGCGGGTGGTATGCAGTACTCAATCTCAATTGAGTACCAAAGGCCTCATGCAGTGCTTCCCAGAAGCGTGAAGTAAACTTCCGATCCCGATCACTGACTATGCTTTCGAGAATGCCATGAAGATTCACAATCTCTCTGACATATAGTCTGGCTAACTGCTCTGTGGAGAAAGTCGTCTTGATAGGAATGATGAGCGGATTTAGTCAACCTATCAACCACAACCCATATGGAATCAAATCTAGCATGGCTTCTTGGTAATCCAACAACAAAGTCCATGGATATACTCGTCCACTTCCACTCCGGAATATCTAATGGCTGTAACAAACCATAAGGCTTCTGATGCTCAATTTTTACTTTCTGACAAATAAGGCACTTATTCACAAACTGGGCTATGTCTTTCTTCATCCCAGACCACCAAAAAATTTGTTTCAAATCTTGGTACATCTTAGTTGCACCCGGGTGAATTGTGTACTTACCCATATGGCCCTCGGTTAACACTTCTTCTACCATTGGCCCCTTTGGGATAATTAACCGATCTTTAGTATTTTCACATGAGAAGCATCGGTGAACACAAAATCTTGCTCTTTCATCATTTGGATCCCTTCATCAAGCACTTGGCCCGCTTTAACTTTTTCCATTAACGAATTTCGGACTTCGACCGTAGTCATGAAATATGAAGTCTCAAATGGTGTCATAGAAATTCGCAAATCCCTGAACTCCTCAATCAATTCATACTCTGCAATCATCATGCTAGCCACACCCGTGGTCTTTCTGCTCAAGGCATCAGCCACTACATTCGCCTTTCCAGGGTGATACTGAAGGTCAAACTTATAACCCTTCAGGAATTCCATCCATCTCCTTTGTCTCATATTAAGCTCCTTTTGATCGAATAGATACTTCAAGCTTTTGAGATCACTAAAAACTGTGAAGGTAGCTCCATACAAGAAGTGTCTCCATATTTTCAATGCAAAAACCACGGCCGCTAACTCAAGATCATGAGTAGGGTAATTCTCTTCATGTGGTCTCAACTGTCTAGAAGCATATGCCATTACCTTTCGCTCCTGCATCAACACGCACCCTAATCCATACTTGGATGCATCACAATAGATCTCAAATCTCTTCTCTAGATCAAGAAGAATCAGAACTGGTGCGGTAGTCAACTTATCTTTCAATTCTTGAAAACTCACATCACACCCAAGGGTCCATGCAAATGGCACCCCTTTTCGGGTCAACCTAGTCAATGGCAAGGCGATTCTGGAGAATCCATTAATAAACCTCCTGTAGAATCCAGCTAAACCCAGAAAACTCCGGATCTTAGTAACACTCTTGGGTCTCTCCCAATCCAACACAGCTTCAATTTTACTCGGATCAACAGCCACTCCTGTAGAGGAGATAACGTGTCCAAGAAATTGGATCTCATGTAACCAAAACTCACACTTGGATGGTTTGGCATATAACTGATGCTCCCTTAAAATCTGTAAAACTATCTTCAAATGCTCTGCATGTTCTTCCTTACTTTTAGAGTAGATCAGAATATCATCAATGAATACCACAACAAACTGATCTAAATGTGGTTTGAAAATCCGGTTCATATAACTCATGAACATGGCCGGGGCATTAGTAAGCCCAAATGGGATCACTAGATACTCATAGTGCCCATATCTGGATCGGAAAGCCGTCTTCGGGATGTCCTCTGGTTTTACCCGAATCTGGTGATATCCGGAACGAAGATCAATCTTCGAGAACACTGAAGCACCCCCGAGCTGATCCAACAGATCATCAATGCGTGGGAGAGGATACTTGTTCTTTACTGTCACCTTGTTTACCTGTCGATAATCAGTGCACAACCTCATAGTCTCATCCTTCTTCTTCACGAAGATGACTGGTGCACCCCAAGGAGATACACTCGGTCTGATAAAGTTCTTGCGGGACAATTCTTCTAACTGCTTCTTCAGCTTAGCTAACTCCACTGGTGTCATCCGGTATGGAGCCAATGAGATAGGCCCCACACCAGGTACTAAGTCAATTGAGAATTCAATCTCCCTCTCAGGTTGAAAATGAGGAATTTCTTCCGGAAATACATCTTCAAACTTGCACACAACCGGAATATTAGCAGTAGGTTCTTTGGAGTCTCCTACGAGTCCTCCCAGGATAATGTATCCTGCAACTCCCACATTTAGAGCCTTATTTAATTTATGTGCCGTCAAGTACAAACTGTCCGGCTTTTCTCATTTTGAAGCAAAGAAAACCCTTCTGCTACAACAATCTAGCATCACACCATATCGGACCAGCCAATCCATACCCAAGATAATGTGTAGATTCATGCCCTTAAGCACTATCAAATCCACCATATACTCTTCTTGCTCATATATGAATCTGACTTCTTTGCACTTCAAAGAAGTAGAAACAATGTCTCCGGTGGCAGTCTTCACTACCATAGGAGGCGTGAACTCATAAATGAGTAGATGTACCCCATTAGTAACAAATTCCGATATGAAGGAGTGGGTAGCTCCAGAATCAAACATGGCATCAAAAGTATATCATCTGATAAGAATAGTACTTCTGATAAGGTTTGAAGACCTCTCTGCCTCCTGCTGTATCACTGCATATACCCTGGCACTAGTGGGCGCCATAGGCTCCTCTATGGCTCTTTGAGTAGGCACATACTGAATAGGGATCGCCTGCATAGCTGCAACTTGTCCCGTCTTCTTGGGGCATTCTCTGGAATAGTGTTCTGCCTGACCACAACTGAAGAAAACATTCTGCCCCAGTCGACAAACACTTGTATGCATCTTCCCACACTTGGCACAAGTGGGAATCTTCCCTACACCAGACATTCTGCTTCCATTCTTCACAAAGGGAGTCTTCTTAAACTTGGTATTCTGCTGTGCTTGCAAACCTTTGCTCTTACCCTTCCAGGGCGTAGTCCTCCCACTGAAGCTCTTTCCCACTGCTTCCTTCCCCCTGGTACGATAGTGCTCCTGAATATTCTGGCACTGCTTGATCAACTCCACAAAATCTCTGGTGCAATGACAAGCCAGTTTGTCTGCTATCATATCATTCAGACCCTTCCTAAATCGAAAGGCCTTGTCTTCTAGAGTGAGGGGAGCTCTACCATAACAAGAATATTTTGCCAAGCAGTTGAACTTGCTCAGATATTCATCCACAGTCATGCCTCCCTGTCGGAGGTCTTCAAACTCACTCTTCTTCCTTTCCTTGGCTTCTTCAGGGAAGTACTTCTGCAGAAAATGCCTATCAAATAACGGCCAAGTAATAGCATAACCTTGGCACTCAAGTGAGTTTCTAACATTACTCCACCAGTCAGAAGCATCCCCCTATAACATGTACACCGCATATAGAAGCTTCGTGTTGGCATCACATTCCATAACCTGAAAAATGCGCTCCATCTCTTGGAGCCACTCCAATGCTGCGATGGGATCTCTTCCACCTTTGTAGTGAGGTGGGGAATGCTTCCTGAAAGCATTTAGCATACGCTCTCTAGTATCCCGGTCAAACCTAGGTGGTATAGCTGATCTATCAACCTCAATAATTGGCTGTCTCACTAGTCCCTCATGGACAGATGCCTCTGCCTCTTGATGGGCCTATCCTGACCCTTCCTGTACCAGCACAACAGGCTCAAGAATCTGTACGGGACCAGCAGCACGTGCAACCTGTTGCTGCACATGTGGTGTAACTGGCGGTGGAGGAGGTGGTGGAGGTCTTCCTCGTACCTCTGTCAACAGTAGTCGGATCATCTCAGCATTGGCCAGCCTATTCTGCGCCATAAGGTCTTCACTGGCCTTTCTCAGCTGCTCTCTATCTCGCTCTCTGGCCTCTTCGATTCTTTTCAAATCAGCTTCCCTGGTTTCATTCAGGGTCTGCTGCAATGTTGCTATAGCTGCAACAATAGGATCAGGAGGAGGGTTTTGAACTATTCGCCTGGGTCTCCCCTGAGGTGCCATGTCACTACACAAAACTGCACGAGGTATGAGTTAGCTACGCTCAATCAAGTGATAGCATATGCAATATCATGACACTCAATAAATAGTTCTAACACTTAAGCAATACATCAGTGAACGTCCCGGTGAAACTGCTCTGATACCATAAATGTAACACCCCGTAGTACTCCGGTTGTTAACATACATGATATTTAACATTCATAGCATCATCATATCATCCTTGTGTAACCCCAGGGTCAAAGCCATAGACGGTTACACATGTGTGACTTCTAGGGTCAAGCCATAGACAGTCAACACAACCTCAGTATGAAATAGCTCCCAGAGTCAAGTCATAGGCAGTCTGCATACCATGATCACTGGCCAGGATCCTCATAACATATATCATCAGTGCATCATCATAACATCAAGATCATATAACAACTATATGAATGTGAATGAATGCACATATACATCATACCATATACATTCATACAATATAACCATAATGCCCACCATCATGGTGGGGCCACAAGAGAGAGGAGTCAACTAGAACTAGGAGCTTACCTCAGGGAGCTTAGCACAAGCCCATACTCCAATAGTATACGTATGCTTCAACAAAATCCTCAAGTGTACGGTTCTCTAGGCACACCTAGAGCTGGAACCATTCACATCATTAATTATATATTAATTAATCAAGTCATATCCACGACTTAATCATTTAATGATTTCACTTTTCATACTTATATGCCAATAATATGCCCATTACAAGTCTAGACCAATTATTACATAATTACGTATTTTAGTGCATTATTACAAGCTACCTAAATCTTCAATTAATTACATAACTTAGAATCACATGCAAGTCTCACTTAGGTAACTTAGATTATTTTCAACTCATCCAAGCCATATTTATGATTATTATAAGTTACTAAGGGTTCCCCTAAGCCCACTTAGCTTAAATATCACTTTTACGGTTTTCCAATAACTGTACATGCTTCTGTTTTCTAGTCACTGAGCATAACTCACTTGTTATAAAATTCTCATCTTTTAATATGTTAATATAGATTCAATTACCTTTCCAAAAAGGTATCACATGCCTCATTTGGAGTTTCCTAACTCCGGTTATCCCTATTTGAAGTTGGACAAGCAAAGCTGTTTGCCAACTCCAAACAGAGCCCTAAACATCCTTTACCATTTCTATGATTCTGGAAAATATCCTAAACCAATTGCTCTCAAATTTTTATGTAGACAACTAGACACCTTTATCTTTAATTCGACATATTATTACCCTAATTTGAGTAAGTACAGAGGGAGAAAAAATTCGTGGAAGTTGCAGCCATGTACAGTGCCCCTACACATGGCCTCCTTGTGCAGTCCTCACTCAAACATACATACAAAATGTAATACATCTTCAATTGATACCAAATTTTGACACCACATAGCTAACATCTCAAGCTTCAATTTGATATAAGGTACAACCCTATATGACCTCTGTGGAGGGATATATGCTCTCCCCAATTTTTCCTAAAAACTGGTTACTTAGCCTTAAATGTGTTTAAGATTTAATTAATCAATTATGCTTAATCCACCTCACTTGGTCCCTCCATTAGTGTCCTAGTCTTAGAACAATTTTAAGACATCAAACCCTAATATATATCCATATGGTTGAATTGAATAGTCATAAGATTAAGGATTTTACTTGTCTTTTTAACACACTTTCATGGTTTAATTAAGTCCTTTATGTCTTTAGTCCCCAAAGGTGTCACCTTTATTAATTTTAACCCTAAACCCTAATATTAATGAAGAGGGAAGAATTAAAGCATGGAATTTTTAGGGTTCTTAGTTCATCCACATCAAAAACAACTAACACACAAGCCAAATGTGACACTTTTTCTTACAAGTCTTCATCTTTCTTGAGTTTTAAACCTCTACCACACATTTAACCATCAAGACCCCATTTTTTAATAATTTACAACATCATTATCAACATATAATTATTATGGACGAAATGGAAAGTGGGAGGAAGAAGGGTTTGGATTCATCTTTTCCATGGATTCAAGCCTTACCTCTCCAAGATGGCTCCTTTAGATCAAGATCCAACCTTTACTTACCAAGAATGCTTCTTTTTTTTACCAAGAACCCACCTTCATGAAATATTCAAGGATTTAGAACCAAGAACATAAATTTAAAAAAGAAAAGGTAGGGTTTTTCAAGAAGAAAATGTAAGAAACTTACACTAGACTCAAGAAAACAAGCACCAAGGAGTGTTCTTCCAAGAGAATTCAAAATAACATCTCCATGGCATGAAGAAGCTCCAAAATCGCTGCTGTATGGGAAGGTCTCCACCATGAAAATTTGGTTTTTCGAAATAAAAATAGGATATTATTGAAGAGGATGATGAGGGGAACAACTTTGGTGAAGAGTGTTTTGGATTTTAATGAAGTTTAGGTGGTGGGATCTTAGAGAGAAGGTGGAGAAAATTTGAAAACCTCCAAGGTAGAGAGAGTGAAGTGGGCTGCTGATGGGAAGGGAAGGGGAAGAGTCTTTTTATATTTTTAGGGTTTTCGCCATGTCATTAAGTGACTTTCTGTTATTTAATGATACCCGGTGTAATTTTTCTCTGAACGGTTATCAAATTTCTACCTTGAAACACCCAAGACTCTAACTTTAACATTTTTGGTCTAATTATGACTTGTTAGGCATAGATTGGTCTTTATTTCCATTTTCTCATCTTTTTACCGTTCCGGGATTCTACCGGCTGCTGCTACAGCAGTACAAAATATCCGACAAAAGTGACTTTTGAAAAATACCCCAATATGGGTATTAATCTTCATCAAATTATATCCTAACCCCATTCATGATGTTTATATCATTAGATTAGGTCTCTAAGTATAATTTGCTAATTTGGAGCTATTCTACAGACTGTTATTACGTTAACAGTCAAAATTAACAGATGAAAATTCATCTGTGCATAATACCCTCAATATGGGTATCAAAATTAATTCTTAGAATTTCATTTTCATTCTATTTATGACCATAAAGTCCTTATCATTACCCTCAAATTTAAGATCACAAAATTAGAGTCATTATAGTCACACTTGAATATAAAATAATAGAAGAATAATATGTTGTATATTGATCTGTGTCAGAGAGTTACAATATATAGAGACCCTAATGGGCTTAAGTGAAAGGCCCAAACCTAATCCTAATACAGTCAGAATACAGTCAGAATATTTACGGATAAGACGGAATCCAATCATATCTAATCATATCATATCTAATATTCTAACACTCCCCCTCAAGCTGGTGCATATATATTATGAGCACCAAGCTTGTTACAAATGTATTCAACCCGAGGACCTCTAAGAGCTTTAGTGAAAACATCCGCTAGTTGATTAGAGGAGTTGACGAAAGCAGTCTTGATTTCTCCTGACTGAATCTTTTCTCGAATGAAGTGACAATCAATCTCTATATGTTTGGTCCTCTCATGAAAGACAGGATTAGAGGATATATGTAGCGCAGCTTGATTATCACAGATGAGTGTCATGGGTTGTTTCTGTTCACAAAGATGAAGCTCTTGATCAACTGCTTTAACCAGACTAACTCACAGGTAGCATTTGCCATTGCACGATACTCAGCTTCTGCACTAGATCGAGCAACAACAGGTTGTTTCTTGCTCTTCCACGAAATTAAGTTTCCTCCAAAGAAGACACAATAGCCAGAAGTAGAGCGCCTGTCCGAGGGTGATCATGCCCAATCAGCATCTGAATAACCACAAATTTCTGTATTTCCCTTATCTGAATACAACAAACCTTTTCCTGGTGCTCCTTTGATGTATCGGAGGATCCTCACAGCAGCATCCCAATGTGAATCACAAGGGGAATCAAGAAACTGACTAGCCGTACTAACAGCGAAAGAAATATCTGGCCTAGTCACAGTAAGATAGTTGAGCTTCCCAATTAGCCTCCGATAACGTCCAGGATCAGATAACGGCTCCCCCTGTCCGGGCAATAACTTGACATTAGGATCCATAGGTGTATCAACTGGTTTACTCCCCAACATACCAGTTTCTTCTAGGATATCCAAGGCATATTTCCTTTGACAGATAGAAATGCCTTGTCTAGATTGCGCCACCTCAATTCCCAAGAAGTAACGCAGCTTCCCAAGGTCCTTTGTTTGAAATGTACTAAACAAATGCTGTTTTAACTGACGAATTCCGTCTTGATCACTTCCGGTGAGAATAATGTCGTCAACATAGACTAACAAATAGATACACTTATCAGGAGATGTAATCCTATAAAACACAGAATGGTCAACTTTACTGCGGATTAAGCCAAACGCCTGAACAGCAGAACTGAAGCATGCTCGAGGAGACTGCTTGAGACCATATAAGGATTTCCGAAGACGACACACCTTTCTAGACTCCCCATGAGCAACAAAACCAGGTGGTTGCTCCATGTAAACTTCTTCTTGTAAATCACCATGAAGAAAGGAATCTCTGATGTCAAGTTGAAGGAGTGGCCAGTGACGAACAACAGCAAGGGCAAGAAAGAGGCGGACTAACGCCATCTTAGCGACCGGAGAAAATGTATCGCTATAATCAAGGCCAAAGATTTGAGTAAAACCCTTGGCAACTAAACGTGCCTTGAGACGATCAATATTGCCATCAGGTCCAACTTTCACAGTAAAAACCCAGCGACAACCAACTATAGACTTCTCTGGAGGAGCAGAAACAAGGTCCCAAGTGCCATTGGAATGAAGTGCAATCATCTCATCAAGCATTGCTTGGCGCCACCCTGGATGGGAAAGTGCTTCACCTGTGGTCTTAGGAATAGAAATAGAAGAAAGACTAGAAACAAAGGTGAAATGAGGTGAAGAAATACGGTCATAACTCAAAAAGGTATAAAGAGGATAAGGGTTACGAGTAGTACGTGTACCTTTTCTTTGAGCAATGAGAAGAGTCTCCGATGAAGGATCCGGAGGGGAAGAAGCAACAGCAGTGGGCGATGAGTCAGCAAGAGTTG